CTCTCTCCTTTTGCAAGGAGTGAAAATTGCAATTAACAGAGGCAGACAGATTTTGTTTAAGTCGATTTTCTCCTCGACACGTTTCATGCTTTTTGATTCGAGTTGGTCGTTGGTCTTGGTCTTTTGTGTACCGATTTTTAACCCTTGCCTCATCCCGAGGCGGGATTAATTATGTTGCAATGTTAATTCAAATTTGCAAATTTAATTAAATTTCTAATTTTATTCTTTTGACACGTTTTATTAGTTTCCTCCTCCCGGGGAGAAGAAGTAAGCGATAAGCTTGTGATAAGGATCAGCAATTCAATTATAATATTCATATTCCTTAAGAAAAAAAAAAAAAGAAAAAAAAAAATTTCTATTCTACTGTGTACAATCTTTACCAATTTTTCAATGTTTATTAAGTTTCTAATTTTAATAATTCCTCGATAATAAAATTTCTAAAATTTGCAATGTAAATCAGCGGATCTGGGTAAATTTAAAAAATATGTTCAAGGATAAATGCGAAAAAAATCTTTTTCGTTACGTTGTTGTTTATTAAGAATTAAGAATTATTAACCGGTCAAGACTTCCACATCCACTTCTTGATTCGCTTCGAGGATTTACAAGAAAGGAGAGAATTTTCAAACAACGTTGAGATTATCATTAGAAGAACTTTAGAACGCCTGGTTAGAATATTAGAATATTAACACGTTAAGAATGATCGTTGCTGTGCAGTGATCGGTCGATAATAAAGAGAGAGAGACAAGAAATTGGCCGGGCGAAATTCATGACGGAACGCCGGTTTCCTCGTCCTGGATCATAATTCATCCGTTTATGGCAAAAGTGGCGCGAGGCAACCGGCTCGCTTTGGTCTCGTTCCTCCTCTCGGCAAAAGTCGGCTTTTCGTCGAAATAAAAACCTCTTTCTCGTAAAAATTACTCTTCTTCTGTACCGAGACGTTCAACAATCAACGATCGCAATTAAAACTAAATCTCGAGTGGTCGCCTCTGAGTGAACGTCTGGACTTCCGACAAGATGTAAATCCTGTTTAACTGAGAATTGCTGTTGTAAATTAGGTCAGGTTTATCGGTGGATTATTATAATTCTCTTTTCTTTCTTTCTTCTCTCTCTTTTTTTTTTTTTTTTTTTTAAATATCTTTTAGATTGTATGCTATTTTTCGACGAATTGCATATTCGAATCCTTTGGCCACGTCGGTCGCGAGAGGTTCGATGCGGAAAAAAAAAAAAAAAAAATAAAAATCGTCAAAACGACCAAGTCATCGGATTTTTTCCAGTAAAATGGAGAACGCTCGGTCCAATCTCGAGGAGGATGCAGCTCGATGGATCAATTCGAGAGACGCGGATTTCACGGTTCGAGGAAAATTCTTGTTCCATCATTGGATTGAATGATTTTCCTTTTCCCTTCCCATTAATCGATATTTCCGAAAAATTTCAGGCACGTTTTCTCACCGACACGCGTGGAAATAACAACGAAAAGAATAACGAGAAATTTGCCTGAAAGTTTGAACTCCTTCCTTCCTTGTTCCCATATCGTTTGGTGGGGGTTGAAACTAACGATACCAGGTTCTATTCTTCCTTCCTCCTTCCACTTTAATCTGAATCTCTCAGTCCCCTTGTATTAACAAGCCGCTATCGGACCAATGTGTTCGATCCACGGTCCTAAAGACTCTGCTTTTGCTCTGGTAATCGCTTGATATGGTATGTCTGCAACTGCATGCCACTTTCATCACCGATCTTCGTAACTTGGTGTTCGCTTCGAGCACGTTGAATTCTCGAAATCGCTCAATTTCGAATCATTTTCTCGCTTGGAGATATTCAAATTTTTATTCTATCATCTCGAGAAACCAGCGTGCACAAGCTTTTGTAACTTGATTGAACGATCGAACAGTACCTCGAAGTAAATCGAATTCTTCCAAACACGATTGAAAATCTTAATTTTTTCAATTACTATATAGATAAATAAAACGAAAATAAAGAAAAATAATAAAAAGTTAATAGATTGTAATGCGAGAAGAATTCGTTTTACCAGTCGTTCGATCGGTATCATTGAACGCTTGTCCTAAAAATACGTAACCTAAAAATCACGAGATTAATCGAATTCGTCGTTTGCACGGTATTCTTCCGATAGAGGGCCGCGAATGCGTGAATTGCGGCGCGACATCGACGCCACTGTGGAGACGAGACGGTACCGGTCACTACCTCTGCAACGCTTGCGGCCTCTACTACAAGATGAACGGGCAGAATCGACCTCTCATCAAGCCGAAACGACGGCTGGTAAGTACCTAAGCTGAACCGCTTTCTTTCTTTCTTTCTTTCTTTCTTTCTTTCTTTTTATTTACTTGCACGATACATTTGGCGTGGATAGTTTCGGTCGGGAAGGATCGAAGACGCATACAATGTTCGTGATTTGAATTGTAAATCCTCTCCACGCGGAGAGGAAACTTTACGTAACTTTGTCGAGGCGTCTACGAAAAATATCAGAATCTTGTTAGAGATAAAGAGTGTATATTTCGTGTACACGTAACGGAGATCTCTGTTTATATCCGCCTTTCGGAAGTATTAGATTGATGTATAAAGGTTGTCGCTCTTACGTAACACGTGTAATATATTCATTTAGTTTTTGCCTCGTCTACATGTTGCTCGTTTAATTATATGAACTTCCTCGTATATTTTTCGAATATATCGTCTTGGATTAAAGGACTGATCAGTTTTATTAAAATATATTATTTTGATTTAAGAAAAATTGGATGATAATTATATGTTTTGACGTCAAAATTGAAAATATGTCAGAAAGTGAGGTTAATTTAACTTTTAAATCATTTAAAAGACAAGATCAAAAGGATATAATGATACATCTCATTGAAATTCTCTAATTACTTATCGAATAATAAATTGCATATAAAATTAGTAGTATTGTATGGTGAAATAACACTTAATTATTGATAAAATAAATAAAAAAATCATTATGGAAATATATTTCCAGATATTTAGAATTAGTTATTGCTTAAGCCCACTATTATATTTGCAGCTAATGCGAAAATTTTACACGACACAGAGCCTATCATTGTCCCTTTTCGTCGAACGGGAATCGACGATTCGTTGAAAAGCTCTCGTGCACCTGTCTGGCTCGTAAAAGCGATGTCCTTGATCGTTTCCTTGGCGCTCATCGAGCCGCACATGCTTAATTAATACGTGCTCGCGGTGCAACGGAGTTATGTGTTTCTCGCGATACGCAGATGCAGTCATCAGAATGCAAGATAAAACAAGGCCAAGCTAATTTCCTGTACGTGACCATTAACGCGCGACGGTGTGTTCCTGTTTGCGTATTCATCATCGATTAGAATATGTATGTATGTATTTATGTAAATACACGGCCCAAATTTTCCAAAAAAATGTATAGTGAAATTCAAGGAAAAGTAAAGTATGAGAATAGAATAATAAATTTCAATTTCTGAAGGTAATGAAGGCAACTCAGAACGCCACCATACGAAACAATTAGGAAATAGAAGATCACGCGATGTGAAGTGTAATAGTCGAGTCAAGATTCTATTAAGTGAATAGAAAATACGTTATGTGATTAAAAGGATGAAAAGGATAACAAAAATCATGATTATATTAACATTATAATCCGCATTTATTGAATTGAAAGTGAAATAATAAGGAAATAAAAGGAATTAATAAGAAAACTTCTTCACGATGGATACAGATTTCTTAAGAGGTTAGAAATTATTTTATTTTCTTTTTCTTCGTTCTTTATATATATTCAGAAGTGGAATCGACAAGCGAAAATAATCACGTTATCACG